CCCCCCCCCCCCCCCCCCCGCGGCCCGGGGGCCAGCCACCGCTTCTGCAGCAGGGCTGGCCAAGGGGAACGGTGGCAGCGGGGCTGCACGGCTTTGGTGTCACCCCCTCAGCAGCACTTGAATACAAACCAACCCACTAATCAACAAATGCGAGTGCTAAAATTGGAATGACGACTCCTGTGGTCTATTTTTTACAATTACTTATTAATCTCAAACCGTTGGCATCCATCTGATCTGCACGTATATCCTGCTAACACATCATCCATCAAAATAATCACTCTGAGTAATTTCTGATGATGCTTCAGGAAAGCACGGCAATTGAAACGGGTCTGCTACGAAACGCCAGTCCTTCGGGCTCCACCTGGGACACCGATTCCAGTCCTCCCGCCTTGCTTTGTGAGGGCCCGTGCCATCAGGCTCTGCAAAATGGCATCAAGCTCTCGTCTGTCACTTTGAAGGGGTGCTACTACTGCTTTTTAATCTAAGAGAAAGGTTGGATAAATAGGCTATCTACGGTAGCTTAATCATCTTGCGCTCACTGCTTTTACTATATGAGGGGCACGATATTGCAAATACTCGGCTGCTCAGTGCAGCACTTAATAACAGGTATAATCTCACCGATCTCAGCCGCAGCCAGGGCTGGCAGCGTCACAGACTACAGCTCAGTCACAGTGGTGTAAACACGGAGTAACTCCACTCACACCGTTACGGTTATCTGTCTTCATACCAGAATAACTCGAAGCCGAATTGAGCACCTTGAGCGTGCAGCCGGTCTAGATGGTGTTTTCTGATACAGCATTTTCAAATATTTAACAGATTGCATAATAATTGAACAGCTGTTGAATAAGCTTCAGATACAAACTCCTACTTAATAAAAAAAATCCAGCAACGAGGCACAGATTTTCTTTGTACACGTATATGTATGGATTATGTTTAGATGTGTAGACTAAATATTTATATTTTACTCGTGAGAGAAAGAGTGCTTTTGGCTTTTCCTTCCCTTTCTTTGATATCTCTCCCTGTATTTATTTTAGTAGTCAGCTTCATAGGAAAACACGAGAGCTTTGAAAAGTTACCTATTTTCTCTCTGGTTTGATTTTCAGTTCTAAAACAATACTTATTTAAGTGTTCTCCACTTCTTGGCATAACCTAATAATTAAAAGAATTACTTGAAAGCCAAGGCAGCTTTGCACAAATTAATGCAGGGGGAAAAAGCTGCAATTTTCCAGTGGGCTGAAAAAGAGGTCAAAATTATGCCAGTTTTAGCTGAGAGCGAAGGTAAACACAGATCTCCCCGCAGCCCCGTTTAAAGCCTTTTTCTGATCTTTAAGTTTCTTCTTTTACTGATCAAGGAAAAGGCTAAATGAGATGCTGGATGTTAGGGTATTTCTCAGCAATTAAAGCAAGGCCGCTGCTGCGGAAGGCACGGCGGTGCTGGCAGAGGCGGTGCACAGCAGTGCTCCCGCGGCGGGCAGCCCTGCCTGCCTGCCTGC